AAAAGAATAGGGACTAGATTTGACCATTTAAAAAATTAAAAAAATAAATGAAAAAAATTGTAATTTTATAAATCATTTCAAATAAAAAAATTAATTAATTAAAAAGAAAAACTGATTATGAAGAAAAAACAAATCAAAAGTCCCATCTGACAATTTGAAAGGTCAACATAAAAATAAAAAAAAAAAAAGAAGAAGAAGAAGAAGAAATCGCTTACGTCCAAGCAGAGCCCCTATACAAGAAAAAAAAGAAAAAGAAGAAGAAGAAAAGATCACTTACGCCCAAGCAGATCCCCTATACATGTACACACGCCACCTAGATTTAGAGGAGATGCTGCGGCGGAGCGAACACTGCCGTGGAAGCGTGAAAAATACAGAAAATAATTTATGTAGTTTTTTTTTTTAATAGGCTGGGATCTGATTTATGCCTTGTCTCCATGCATGTGAAACTAGAAAAGACGAAGGAACCATATACTATAATTAATTAATCATAAGCTTCTGACTTGTATTTATTTAATTTTGACTTTGTATCTATAATGTCAATGATGCATTATCAGTGTGTACATGTATAGCTCCTTAATTAAACATTGAATGGATTCAATTATTAGCTTCACCTTAGAAATCCCAACACGTGATCACATGGCCTCTCGTTGAATTAGCAGCCATGTTAGAGCTCAATTCCTCTGCTTCACTAATCATACATTTTCCCGCATTTTCTCTTGTTTTCTCTGCTTTTTACGTTGCTCTCGGGAATATTTTTGAAGTAAAATCTTACTCTTTCAAAATAAAATAAAAAAGTAGGGAAAATGTTTTTTCTATTTCAATTATCTCAATCTCTCCTGTTCTGAAACAGTAATAATTAGTTTTTAACCGTTATCTTTCAATTTTCATATTTAGTCAATATATATCAAATAAATATGTATCAATTTACTTTTATTATAAATATAATGTAAAATATTTCCTATTTCAAAACTAGCATAAAACCAAAAAAACTGTGCAACCAATTAAGTTCCTTGTTTTTAAAAAACTGAAAATAAAAATAAAAAACAGAAAACGTAGATGATAACAGACGATCCCTCAGTTAAGGGTTTTTTTTTTTGGTTCTTAGTCTTGTCTTCTGGTAATTTTGTGCACCCATATTGGACTGAAAGTTCAAGCATTACATTGGGCCTTAGTTATAAAGTGTCCAAAGACAGTGAGAAATCTAAAATGCACAAATGAAAGAAATATCACATAGGCCCAAAATCATGAGAACTTAATGGGCAATTGACACACTCATTAATTTTGTACTTTTCATTGCAAAGTTCTTTTATGAAGTTATTAAACCCATTTATTTATGTATGTTGGTGATATGTTGATGTAATATTTAATTTGAATTAAATTTTAAATTAAATTAAATAAAAAATAATTTAATATAATTTAATTAATTAATTAAGTTAATTTGTAATTTGATTAATCAGTTAAAATTTGATTTGTTTTTTTTAAATAATAATATTTTAAGAAAAAAAATTTAATTTGGATCAATTCGGATTATTCTTCTTAACTCATTATTAAAATTTAATGATTTTGGTTCTATATTAAATATTTATTTGGGATATTCATGAATCAAGTCAAGTTTGATAACTTTGTTATATATTAATCAAAGTTTAATCACTCCCTTCCCTTTTTAAATTTAAATATTAAGTCTTATATCTAAAAGAAAAATATTTAACGATTCTTTAAAATTATCTCAAGAAATATAATTAATCATAGTAGTTTGATAGCACCTTTACTCATTCAAAGCAAAGTTCTTTTATGAAGTTATTAAACCATTTATGTTGGTGATGCATTGATGTAATATTTAATTTGAATTAAATTTTAAATTAAATTAAATAAAAAATAATATAATATAATTAATTAATTAATTAAGTTAATTTGTAATTTGATTAATTAGTTAAAATTTGATTTGTTTTTTTAAAATAATAATATTTTAAGACAACAAATTTGACTTGGATCAATTCGAGTTATTCTTCTCAACTTATTATTAAAATTTAATGACTTTGGTTTTATATTAAATATTTATTTGGGATAGTCATGAATCTTTGATAACTTTGTTATATATTAATGAAAGTTTAATCACTCCCTTCCCTTTTTAAATTTAAATATTAAGTCTTATATGTAAAAAAAAATTAAAAAAATTCTTTAAAATCATCTCAAGAAATATATTTAATTATAGTAGTTTGATAGCATCTTTTGCTCATTCACAAAGGAATATTGTTTCATATTTTCTTTCTGTTTTATGTTTTTTTAAAGAAAGAAAAGGTCAAAGACCTAATTGATTCCTTAAAACAGCATATTCCTTGACCAAGCCAAAATCAAATGAAGAAATTAAAGGTTCAATTGGCTCAAAAAATTGGATTTCAAAGATTCGCCCATTTACCCTACTGTGGTCAGTGCTAATTTTTACTGTAGATCAACATCATAGCTGCTGTGCCTGCTGCCTACTTCCATGCTTCTTCATACCAAACTTCCCGATTGAGTAAAAGTAAACCCATCATTGTTTTTCCAAGGAAAAACCATGTGCTGGCTTGGAAATCACGAATAATTACTGATTTGATCTTGGCCTCCTCTATTGACCATTTGATACCTAAAACACGAATGTTTGTTAAGGCATGTAGCTAATGGAAGTTAACGGGTTTTACTATAAAATTATGAAAATGGATGCTCAGTTTTAATAGCTAGAAATTGTATAATTTCTCGCTATAAAAGTGAAATTTTCTAGGGCTTAATTTTGGAGAAGGGTGATCACTAGGCATGTTGCTATATAGGCAGAACAGGTGAGGTGAAAGTCGGTGTAGTTATGTGCAAGTAATGGTGAGGTTGTAGATCGAGCTAGGAGGACACGAGGGCGACTTGTGAGCCTTAAAATACGGGTCAAACGAGGACTGATGGTCCATTAATCCCTTCCATTTTAAGCAATAAATTTAGATCCATCATTTCCTTCAATTAATTTCCAAAAATATTCCCTTTTTATTAGGTTTCCTTCCTTCTCTTTACCAGCCATGATTCTATAGCATTCACAAGAGCTACTATCATGCCTTGATTTGCCTTATCTATGTTTGTTTCCTTAATGACAAGGGATATCCTCTTATTAGTATCAACTGAAATCAAATTCTTTCTTTTCCCGGACAATGTTAAGAGTGCATTTCTATTTCTCTTACATTTAGAGAAATTTAATAAATTATTTGAAAGGATGATTTCAAGATTTGATTAGAGTTAAAATGTCAATCCTATTAAGAACAAGGCTTGTAGAATGTCTTGAAAAAAAATTTAGCCTAGAACAAGGCTTGTAGAATGTCTTGAAAATTTTTTTAGCATGATTAAACCATCACATAAAATATTTTAACTATTTTTATTAGATTGGATGATTTGTGCATCAAACTTCTTTAGAGATTTTGTTTTATTTATTTAGTCTATCACACACGTGTGTGGTGTCGTGATAAATATAAGTAAAAAAACTAAAAAATTCTTATTTTTTATCCATTGATAAATAATGATATATCAGTATTCCAATGAAATTGCTGATGATATTTTTAATAATTTTCTAGTACAATGACAATTTTATTAAAAATTACCAATAAAATATATTTTATTATTATTTTGGTTAGAAGTTCTTGAAAAGAATTCTTCGTTGCTATTTCTATTGAAAAATAACAATGAAATATTTTATGTCATCGTTTCCATTATTATTTGCTAATTCTGGTAATATATTATGTTTTGTTAGTGTTATGCGGCCATCTTGGATCGTGAAAAAAGAAGGTAAATTAGTTTAAGATCCTACTTTTCCTTGTCAATCATTTCCTATATGCACTTATGTAACATCTCCGGTTTCATTAGTTTAAGATATGGTGATTTTTCTTGGAAATTTGTTGGCCTTTGATTTCAATAATCTTCATTTAACTTTATATGGAATTAATTTGATGATTAAGAGAGTTTTTTTATTTAAATTTAAATTTTATGATATATATATATATATATATATATGATAAATGTAAAACACGATATATGAAACATGTTTTTAATATAAAAAAATCTTCGTTTACGCATAATTTTGTTGAGTTTTTTTTTTCATTTACAAATTGTGCTTGGGATGAAAGTGATAGGGCTACATACTGATATATAGTTCGGTGTGCTAACACGAAGCTTGCCGATGCAATACCCTGATGATCCCACTTACGCACCATCACATAAACGCGACAACAATCCTAACAAGCTAACCACGACTTCCGAATCCTCTTGAAATATTTCTGCCAACCAACCTGGTCGTGTCCGCAAGGTCTTCTCGAGAAGGAGATTCGCGAACTCTCTAGTTTCAATCCAAGATGTCTCGAGCCGTTCGAAAATGTCATCATATGCCAAGGAAGTTTGAGGTAATAGAGTAATGTTCGTGATGTCCTTCAATGTTTTGGGTTGCACGCACGGTACACTAATGTATTCCTTGGTCGATCGACAGCCCGAGAAATACAATTCTTTCACTTGAATGGAAAATATGCCTCAAATGCCATTGTCTTTCACTTGAATGGAAAATATGCCTCAAGTGCCATTGAAAAAAAAAAAAAAAGGAACCTTAATTTCGGTGTAGAAAGCCACCGGCAGTCCCCAGCAGTGATATGCATCTTAATTGAGGCCAGCCACTGGGTTCATCATGTGGTTGTTTTGAAGATGAGTAGACCAACGATGGTTAATCATGAGGTTGCTTTCAAAGGGAGTAGACAAAAAAAAAAAAACTCACACGTGAACATAGCCTAGTCTATCTATAGCATTGTCAAATGTCAAAGCTGGCGATTCTCCTTCTCTTTTCTTTTCCAACTCTTCTTCCAATGACCTAACCCCTTGAACATTATTAACAACTTCTACATTTACTGCTAATATTTATCATCAACATGATTACTAAATCTTATTCACTTCATAATCATCTATTTTTCTTGTACCTATTTTGTTTCTTTCCCTTTAAAAAAACATACATTGACCTACTTTTTGTGATTAGCTTGCCTTTTAAGCACTCCTTTCTCTATTGTTATTTCTTCTTTCTCCTCCATTTTGAAACTCCCCTTTAGCTATCTCTAAACCTCTACCTTTGATCTAGACAACCTACTAGCATGCTTGAATGTCCAGAGACAGGTAAGAGTGAATCACCCACAAAAGAATTGAATAAGATCTATTTGCCTTTCTAGGAAATGCATAACCCTAGCTTGTTCTAGCCTAAAAAATAATTGAGAACTATATATGATCTTGACTTCTTCTCTAATTTGTTTGTTCTACCTCTATTTGGAATTTTGAGAAGGAAAAAAAACTTTGTTTCTTAATAACCCCATATAATATAGGTTCTTTCTCTTGATTTTCTTCTTGTTGTTTTAGGGAGAGATTTGAAGAGATAGGAAAGAGGATCAAGAGGGAAAGCGATGCATCTTCTCTAATGAGAAGGAGACAAATGTTAGGTCCTCCTGGAATCTTGAATACTGTTACACCGTGCGCTGCATGTAAGCTTTTAAGGAGAAGATGTGCTGAAGAGTGCCCTTTTTCTCCATATTTTTCTCCACTTGAACCCCAAAAATTTGCAGCTGTTCACAAAGTCTTTGGTGCAAGCAATGTCTCCAAGCTGCTTATGGTATGCATCAAACTCCCTCCACTAAATAATCTCTTCCCCACAATTTTTTTTCATACAATTTAATTGAGTTTTTGGATTTCGCAATTTTCATGTTTTTGGGATTTAATTATCTAGGAGGTGCCTGAAAGTCAAAGAGCTGATGCAGCAAATAGTCTAGTTTATGAAGCAAACCTGAGGCTAAGAGATCCTGTCTATGGCTCTATGGGTGCAATTTCAGCCTTACAACAACAAATTCAATTATTACAAGCTGAGCTTAGTGCAACAAGGGCTGATATACTCAACTACAAATACAGAGAAGCTGCTGCTAGTAACATCATTTCTTCTACTCATGCTGCTTTAGTTTCTTCTGCAACCGCGTCCATTTCAGCACCGTCACAAACTCTTGCTCCCCCTCCTCCCACCCCACCACCTCTTTCTGTTGTTGTTTCTTTATCTACATCTTCTCCTTCTCTATATACACCACCAACTAGCACATCAGGTTATAGCACTATTTCTAGTGATAATAATGTCCCATATTTTGATTAATTTTACCATAGACCATAGTCAATTTTTCGACATTTTCCATTGCACTTGGTATAATAATGTTGTCTAATAGAGTAGCAAGATGGTTGTCTTAATTTTATTATAGACCGTAGTCAATTTTTCTACATTTTCTATTGCATTTGATATACTAATGCTGTCTAATAGAGTGGCAAGATGGTTGTCTGATATTGTTCTATTGTAACTTTCTATAAAGATGGAGAAACCATGGGAGAAGAAGGAGATCATAAATTAGATCGATCGGGGCCTTAAATCAAAATCCTAGTTAAATTTAGTTTTTGGAATTGAAATTTCGTTTCTACTTCATCACATTGTTGCCTTGTTCTAGGGTCTCAAATTTCATGTCTACAAACGTTTTTATGCCTCTGCCTGGAAACTTCTTTATCTTCTCGTCTCTTCTTTCTAGGGTGAAGGAAAACTGAACCTTCCAGCCCATGTGTTTACATGTTTTTCTGTGCCATTAAAGGTCCTGAAATCTTGTTTAGGGACGTGGGGGAGACAAAAGGTACGGCGGGCTGTGATTCTTCCCATGTAAAAATTAAAGTCATGATTCATTATTGAATTCGAGGGGTCAGATTTTACTGCATGACTCTTCAGGTTCCTTTATCAAATAGCCTTTTTCAATTAATTACTGTGTATGATCGATACGTGGACATGCATGCATAAGAGGTCACATTAATTTCATCTGTGCTTAAAAGGGCTTTGCTTTTTTCATTGTTAAAATTACTGATTTGTCCTTAACTATTCAAGTTTTACAGCGGATATTCAGTGGTAATTTAATATTTTTTACGGATTCATTAATCATTACACTAGTAAACGAAGTTAGATAACTTATTTTTGTATTTTATTGTACAACGTAATTACTTTATTATCATTAACAATTAAAAAAAAACCTTTGAACAATGAGTATTTTAGTGTTTAACTTAATTTTAAAACAATTATATTACAACATTGCTATTAAAACTCAAAAAGTTTTGTTTTTGATTTAGAAAATTCTTTTGTCATTTGCATTTAATTATTTAATAGTTATTGAATGTGATTAGAGACATCAAGTAATTTTATAAATAAAAATAATATGGTTCCCTTGGATATTTTTTTTTGTTAAATATAACCTTTTAATTTAATCCTCAAACATTTAATTTTTCAGGTGTTGAACTTCTAAGTTATGTTTGAGTCAAGAATTTAATGCATTGTGAGTTTGAGAGTTTAATAACAGTTTACAAGGTTTACTATGTCTTGTCTCTTTTTTATTTTTTGTACTTTTTTAAAGCTATTTTTTCTTTTATGATTTCATTCATCAGCATTTTTTTATTTGTTTTCTTTGAGACTTATCTTTCTTGTAAAAAGTAACAAGGGCTACCTCAAATTATTTTGGGTTTTTATTAAATTTATTTTTTTTAAAGGGTTTTTTTTAAAATTTAATTAAATCTATTGATTTTATTTTTCGACTTTTAATTTGAAGGGTGTTTGAGCTTCTTAGTGTAATTAAGGTCTAGAATTTAATGTGTTATGTATTTGAGGGATTAATTCGAGTATACAAATTCACTTGGACTTGCTTGGTTTTTTTAAAAAAGAGTTCAATTTTTTCGGTTTCATCCATCAATATTTTTTTTATTTGTGTTTTATGAAATTTTTTTGTGGTTTTGAAAGTAACAAGGGTTAACTTAAATTTTTGTTTGTCAACCTTTGTTAAATCTAGCTTAAGAGTGAGCATTGGATGCTTGATTATGATTTATTTTTTTACTTTCTAAGTCATTATTTTGACAATAGTGTGATCTTTTCAGTAACTAAATACTTAAATTTTTTTTACTCTTTTTTAAAATATTGATATCACATGAACATCTTTTTTTACATTGGCAAACAAATATGCTACAAGCCATTTATCTAGTTTATTCTATTTTACATGCATTTATTTATTCACATTTCCCATAACTATTTTTCACGATGTTTTATTGCTTTGCCTGGCTATGTCAAGTGTTTGTTTCCTAAAAGTTTGGAAACATTGAATTTTAGGATTCATTAGTGATATCCACTAATTCACCATGAGAGAAAAACTTTTGGAATACTATTATAATTATTCTTTCCGTTGTTAATAACTAAGAATGGAACCTTGAAACCTCAAGGTTATATGTAGTCGCTAAATTTAATTTTAATGATACATATTAATTAAGAGAATAAGATATACAATTTTGAAAGTTCTTTGCAACATTGTTTCGATGCATTCACCAAGAAAATACTGGAAAGGATGGATGCCAAGTAATTCTTTTTCACCAAAGCAATATTTTTAGGCTATGAATTTGAAGTTGGAGCCTTGATGCTGGCTAGTGCACATGACTCCTTGTTGATTTCTTACATTATAATTTTCATGATGCATTCCCACCTCATGGTGACTTCTTCAATCTCTCTCTCTCTCTCTCTCTCTCTCTTTACGGTATGGTGGGGAGACAAACTTTGGGGGTATAAAATGATTGATTGACACGTTCATTTATCTTAACACTTCTGTGAGCAATCAATCATACAGCACTGATGATGACCATCGCACAATGGAAAATATTTCTTAATCTCTTCTAAATATACATTAATCCAATTCAATCCTTCGTTAATCCCCTCTTCATCTCTTCTCTTCGAGCCTCAGATTTTCTAATCCAAATCTCTGAGTTTTAACTAGTGAGGCATCTCCTCAGAAACGGTGCATTTATTTAATAGTTGTGATTCTGTGGATTAACTTTAATATTTAGGGTTGGAGTCAACGTTGTCTCAATCAGAATGCCAGCAAGATTTGATTTATGAAATGGGGTTTTCTTGGCGTGTGGAGCTCAAATGGTTAAGTAGAAGAAGCAAGGAATAGTTTTCGATTATAATATCAACAAAACCATGAAGATAGTGTCGACACACTTTGCCTAACGACAATTTCAATGCCAAGCCCTGTATAATTAAAATGTATAGTATACAATAGTGACAATTTGGTTGCACGTCATGGTTGCTTGAGATATTCGCATCTAATTGCTTTGTCCTTTCACATGAATACTGCCAATAAAAGTTTCTCGAATATAAAATTTTTGAGCCCTCATTCCTTCTTCCAACAAAGTCTTTCTCCTGAATTCTCAAGAGAAAATAAAAAATAAAAAATTATAATTAGCCAGTGTATATACCTGTATGTGGTATCCTCTCTTGGCATTTCATGTGGAATCTGAATTTTGTTCCTTAATGAGTCAAAATTTCAATTATCCAAAAGAAAAAACCTAACCAAGGAATCTATATTTATATTTTAATTAAGAAGCATTTTTAAGCAAATTTAATATCATCAAGTTATGACGTTCATCACCTTCAAAAAATGACAGAATGATATTAATTTTTGACTGATTTTTCATTTATGAGGGGTTGACTCCTCCTTCGCTAGATTTGGATGGTTATGAGAATTCCCATACATATATTAATTAATTAATTAATTAATTAATAATGACGACTCATAGTGATCCTCAAACCTGGTCTGCCCAGCCAAGTTCCAGAGATTTCACATGGAATTAAATTTATAATATTTTGTACAAATCATAGGTGATTTAATATTGTTGCACCACTTACAGATCCACTGATCAGTTTATAATTAAACTATTAAATATTCCCTCGGTAATTAACAGACCATGCATTGCTAAAGGTAAGAAAAGAAATCCGCCGCATGAGCTGGTCATTGACCCAAATACAGCAATCGCTATAGACTTTAAACTATAGATATTTCGGTTTCTGGACTTTTCTTGTATCTGGGTCCAGTGTTCTTGTCTTCTTTTGGGCCACGGGGGCTGTGTGTTCTTTAGATCTTTTCTCCTAAGATTACATAGCCTTCCATAGCCTTCTGAGAATTTAATGCATTGTGAGTTTGAGAGTTTAATAAGAGTTTACAAGGTTTACTATGTCTTGTCTCTTTTTTATTTTTTGTACTTTTTTAAAGCTATTTTTTCTTTTATGATTTCATTCATCAGCATTTTTTTATTTGTTTTCTTTGAGACTTATCTTTCTTGTAAAAAGTAACAAGGGCTACCTCAAATTATTTTGGGTTTTTATTAAATTTATTTTTTTTAAAGGGTTTTTTTTAAAATTTAATTAAATCTATTGATTTTATTTTTCGACTTTTAATTTGAAGGGTGTTTGAGCTTCTTAGTGTAATTAAGGTCTAGAATTTAATGTGTTATGTATTTGAGGGATTAATTCGAGTATACAAATTCACTTGGACTTGCTTGGTTTTTTTAAAAAAGAGTTCAATTTTTTCGGTTTCATCCATCAATATTTTTTTTATTTGTGTTTTATGAAATTTTTTTGTGGTTTTGAAAGTAACAAGGGTTAACTTAAATTTTTGTTTGTCAACCTTTGTTAAATCTAGCTTAAGAGTGAGCATTGGATGCTTGATTATGATTTATTTTTTTACTTTCTAAGTCATTATTTTGACAATAGTGTGATCTTTTCAGTAACTAAATACTTAAATTTTTTTTACTCTTTTTTAAAATATTGATATCACATGAACATCTTTTTTTACATTGGCAAACAAATATGCTACAAGCCATTTATCTAGTTTATTCTATTTTACATGCATTTATTTATTCACATTTCCCATAACTATTTTTCACGATGTTTTATTGCTTTGCCTGGCTATGTCAAGTGTTTGTTTCCTAAAAGTTTGGAAACATTGAATTTTAGGATTCATTAGTGATATCCACTAATTCACCATGAGAGAAAAACTTTTGGAATACTATTATAATTATTCTTTTCGTTGTTAATAACTAAGAATGGAACCTTGAAACCTCAAGGTTATATGTAGTCGCTAAATTTAATTTTAATGATACATATTAATTAAGAGAATAAGATATACAATTTTGAAAGTTCTTTGCAACATTGTTTCGATGCATTGACCAAGAAAATACTGGAAAGGATGGATCCCAAGTAATTCTTTTTCACCAAAGCAATATTTTTAGGCTATGAATTTGAAGTTGGAGCCTTGATGCTGGCTAGTGCACATGACTCCTTGTTGATTTCTTACATTATAATTTTCATGATGCATTCCCACCTCATGGTGACTTCTTCAATCTCTCTCTCTCTCTCTCTTTTTCCAAGGACGGTATGGTGGGGAGACAAACTTTGGGGGTATAAAATGATTGATTGACACGTTCATTTATCTTAACACTTCTGTGAGCAATCAATCATACAGCACTGATGATGACCATCGCACAATGGAAAATATTTCTTAATCTCTTCTAAATATACATTAATCCAATTCAATCCTTCGTTAATCCCCTCTTCATCTCTTCTCTTCGAGCCTCAGATTTTCTAATCCAAATCTCTGAGTTTTAACTAGTGAGGCATCTCCTCAGAAACGGTGCATTTATTTAATAGTTGTGATTCTGTGGATTAACTTTAATATTTAGGGTTGGAGTCAACGTTGTCTCAATCAGAATGCCAGCAAGATTTGATTTATGAAATGGGGTTTTCTTGGCGTGTGGAGCTCAAATGGTTAAGTAGAAGAAGCAAGGAATAGTTTTCGATTATAATATCAACAAAACCATGAAGATAGTGTCGACACACTTTGCCTAACGACAATTTCAATGCCAAGCCCTGTATAATTAAAATGTATAGTATACA